GTGAAGCAGGATGGAGGCCAGAGACCTCAGAACCATCTGTCACTGTCTATCCAGGTCATCACTTGAGGTGCTGCTGGAACTGCTGTCCTCGCTTTTGTCAAGTTCATCTTGTACATCCTGGTTAAGCTTCTCGTTCAGCCGATGGTAAAGACCCAATCTCTGTGGTTTTCTTTCTTTCTTCACCTTAACCAAGGGAGTCTGAGCTCTTGGGGGGAGTGGCTTTTTCATGCAGGCTTGATCGAATCTCTTCATTACCACTGGTTTCTTAGTTACCTGGAAGGAGATCACAGGAAGGGATTGGTTTGGGGAAAGAAGGTGGAGATGGAGAGGAAACAGGAACTCATGGGAAGGGGTGAGATCTCAGCCTGTGAGGACAAGGTAGGGGAACTAGACAAGGACCAGAAGGGGAGCAGCTCACCTTGGCCTTATATTTGGATTTCTCATCCTTCTTCCCAGCTTGGGTGGTGGTACCTTTTGATTCAGTCATCTGAAACTCCTGTAACTTTGTACTTATCACCCCCATTTTGATGTTTCTCGGGAATTTAGCCAGGACCTCCAGACCTTTCCTCTGAAATTCCTCTTGCTGGATAAGGAGTAGCCACGACCCCTCATTGTTTGGTCAGGAAGCCACGCCCCTACCTAGTCTAGCCCTGGTGGGTGGGGGAAGGGCATAAAAGGCACAGAGCATCAATTTGTTGCCCTTGTAGGAGGAGTGCAGGCATGGTGGTCTGGTTAGAGAAGAGAGGCATTTCCTTAGCTTTGTAGGGTCTCCCATACTGCTGTGCCTACCTGTTCTCCCTTCCCTGCGTGAGGGTGACAGGGCAAAAAGAGGGTGTTCTTCTCTACAATTCCCATACACATAAGATTCAGTGGTGTGCTCTGTGTTCTCCAGCTCTTCCTTATTCTGTCCCTCTGGTGTGTGTGTGTGTGTGTGTGTGCTTCCATGCCTCATTCTCTCTGGCGCACCTCCATTGCTGCATTTCTTTCTTAACCACTATGTTCTATCGCTTTGCTTTTTCCTAGAGTCTGCTTATGTTTCCTTGGTGTTTGGTTTTCTAGTGAGAAATTATCGGCTTTAGCGTGTCACTATGGTAGACTTTCTGCATTGGGAATCCTATTCTTATTTCCAGACTGAGGGCCATGTTAGTGCCCTACTAGATCTGGGATTTATGATGTGTTTGGGGAAGGTGATGGTAGTGAGTTGAGGTAAATATTTACATGCCAGAAGTTGGCCATGCTGGAAATTGTGAATGAAGACTAATGTGCATTCATGGGGAAGAGGTTTCCACAAGCAGAGGTACATGAGCCTCATGGGTAACAGCGTTCTCCACCTGTGCCAGTGGCCCCAGGACTTTTCTTGCTACATTGTATTGGTATCTCTGTTGACGTCCTACCTTCCTTAGAGCCCTTCTCACAGTTGAGACTCTAGTGGATATATTCTTGTGAATAGCTCTAACAAGTTTCTTTTTCCCTACATGGGGAACACTGTAATCATATCTTACGTGTGTACTACGGAGTATGTAGTCTCCCATTCACCTTTTTGTCCCAGGAGAAAATGGGTTAGCTACAGGCACTATGTTACTGAATATGTAGCAAGTTCAGCCTGCCAGAGGTCTTTACCTTTGTGAGTTTTCTGTGTGCACTCACTTTCGGCTTGTCTTCCTGGCATGCTCAGCCAGTGTTCTTACAGCACATGAGAGAGGGATAACACTGCCTACGATGAGCCAGGCCCTCCCATATCATTCAACAATCAAAAAAATGTACCACAAGGCTTACCCACAGACCATTTTGGTGGGAGAATTTTCTGAGTTGAAGTCTCATCTTCCAAAATGACTCTGGCTTGTGTCAAGAAAACATAAAAACTAGCCATCACATGAAACCTCCAGAAACCATACTAGTAATAGTCACATGTATAGAATGAAGTTAAAAACTGTCCCTTGAGAGGCTCTACCAACACCTGACCAATACACACATGTGGATGCTTGCAGCCAACCATCTGACTGAGCACCAGGACCCCAATGGAAGAGTTAGGGAAAGGATTGAAGGAGCTGAAGGGGTTTGCAACCCCATAGAAAGAACCACAATATCAACCAACCGGACCCTCCAGAGCTTCCAGGGACTAAACCATCAACCAAAGAGTACACATGGAGGGACCCATGGCTCCAGCCACATCTGTAGCAGAGGATTGTCTTGTTGGACATCAATGGGAGGAGAGGCCCTCGGTCCTGTGAAGGCTCCATTCTCCAGTGTAGGGAAATGCTAGGGCGGTGAGGTGAGAGGGGGAGCACCCTCATAGAAGCAGGGGGAGGGGGATGGGATAGGGGATTTGCAGAGGGGAAACCTGGAAGAGGGACAACATTTGAAATGTAAATAAATAAAATAACCAATAAAAATGAGTAAGGGAGGAACAAGGAATATCTGAGAGTGGTACAATTCTTATGTTTGATACTCCAACAGTAGATTAGTAATACTGTGTACCTGTCAAAATTCACAAAAAAATTATAGCATAAAGTATGCATATAAAACTAATCCAAAAAATCACTTATGGAATTCTGCATTCTGATTAGAAGAATATGATACAAATGCTTATTTTTTGTTTATCTCTTTTCATTGACTAGTTGGAGGGGTGACTGTTGACTTCAGTGACTTTGGAATCTTAAATATAATAACAAAATGAACTGTGCATAAGCACTGTATACTACTTGATTGTTTCCCTCTGTATGGGGTCAGAATCTAGACATGTAAGATAGACATTTTAAAAATAAGTTAATAGCCAGGAATAGAGGGACTTACATTTCTCACTGTTGATGTGGAAAGAACATTGAAAGCAAGCTAGAATGACCCCCATGATCTATATTTGTGCCATAGACAACAGCAAGAACGTGTGTAGCTTTGTGTGCACACATACACTTATGTTACACCTTATACCTGGATAAATATAGAGAATGTTACTAAGCTAAGTATAGGTATCAGTCTTAAGACAGTTATGCTACTCTTCTTTTTTTTTTTTTTTAACTGAGAAGGACTGAAAACAGTAACAGTTCCATAGCAGCATAGGGCACCCAGGACATGGTTTCTAATACTGCTTTGCAATGAAAGAAATTTGAGATCCTTATCAAAATAGTGGATTATGGTTCTGGAAAAGGAAATACAGAAGATGAGCATAGAGCATCTTCTAAGGACAGAAAAGAAGAAAGTGATTAGAAAACATATCAATGTAACCTGAACAGTGGCAAGACTGAAACAAATTGATTAACGAAATGTGTAAAATAATATTAGGCTATAACTCAAGCAAAAACCCTAAAATCCATGGTGAGAAAAATAAACAGTTGGAAAAGTAAGTAAATTCAAACAGACAAATCCTATGTATGAAATTAGTATAATTTATGCAATATTATCTACTCAAGTAAGTAAAACTTTGACTCCCCACTCATTAATGCTGGCCTTTTAAAAATGTCTTTCTTATAAAGAATATGTGTGGTGGTGGATGGAATAATGGAAGAATAAGGTTTTTTTTTTTTTATGTTGGAGAAAACTGACAAGCACTGTGTCAGCCAGGTAACATGAACATGAACAGCTACAAGTCCTTCTGATAGTAGGTTCCATTGATAGGGTATAATGAAAACAGAACTTTTCCTCCATGCTCCTCTTTCTCAAAAAACCTGTAAGTCCAATCAGATTATAATAAAAAAATATTAGACAAATTCCAGTCGAGGGTCATTTAACAAACTTTCTGAATTACTTCTCAAAACTGCCAAAACTGTTACAAGAGAGTTCTCTCAAAGCCATGAAGAACCTAAGCAGACAAGAGGACTGAATGCAGTCCTGCATGGGGTCCCACTAATTAGAGGAACACTAAGGAAAATGGAAAAAGTCTGCACTTAAATGATAACAGTGTATTGATATTAACTCATTCACTGTGACAAATGTGTCACATTAGTATAGCATATTAACCATAGGAGACATTTTTGTGAAGTACATGAGTGCTATTTTTACTATGTAGTTTTTCTAAAAGTCTAAACCTTTTCTTAAATAAAAATTTTACTATAAAACACAAAAATAATTCTTACTCTAAATGGCATGGAGTGACCTGTAAAATGGTCACTATTCTTGTGATACAGAGCAGCACACAAGCTCATGTAAATTGAGAAGTTCAGATCTTCATGTTTACAGCAACATTCTTGGAACTGTCTATTCCATTAATGTTATGCTACTCTGAAAACCCACTTGCTATCTAAAAGAAGCAGTGTGAAACATGCTGAGGATATATTGATGGACTTGGTAGATGAAATAATGGATTGGACACAAGGTTAGTAATGTAAAAGGTAGCTTGAATTTCTTGTTGAACTTGCTTAAAGACACAAAGGGCAACATTGAACTGAATGCTTTAGAAGTGAATTCTTTGATCACTGGACATATCCAGGTAAATAAAACACCTCAGATATGCTACCTCATGTACAGAGATCCTGGTTAGATTAACCTGTACATGACTCTGCTACCTCTGTTCCATTTACAGTACACATTGAGAAAAAAAAATGTTCATTTTTTAAGCCAAAAGAAGAGTTTGTACAGAAAAAGGAGAGAGAGAGAGAGAGAGAGAGAGAGAGAGAGAGAGAGAGAGAGAGCAGGAGAAAAGGAATAAACAAAAATTTAAGAAGATAGATCTGGTGTCTCACACATATAGAAACCAACACATAGAATGAAGTGGCATCAACATGAATATCTAGGCTAGCATGGCCTCTATAATGAGTTTAAAGTCATCATGCTCTATGTAGCAAGATCTGATCTCAAAAATCCAAAAGAACCAATCAAACAAAAGACATGTTAATAAATTCTGCATAAATCTAAATTTCAAAAAGTACTCCACAGATATAGCTGTTGCAAATCTATTTCATCCATTTGAATGTTGCTGAAATGAGAGAAAACAACCGAAGTTTTGGAGATTTGAAGTGATTAGTTCAATAATGTTGAAGTTTGTGCAGAAAAAATTAAGAACTACTACCATATCTTTCTATAGCCCCTGTTTTTCTCATTTCTGAGTTAAAGGAAGCAGAGAAGCCATTATTGGCAGGTTGAACAATAGAAATGAAGATTTTGTTTCTGGTTAAATATACTTGTAGATGCTTTTCTTAGGAAGAAAACAAGCAAACCACACCACCTGGCCTTTCAGACCTGTGTCCTTTCACCACTACCTGTGGGCACTGTGTGAGGTTGATTCTTCACTTCTATGACCCTCTTTCTAAGCCCTTACTTGAGTTGCCACAGGATAAAGGATAGAAAAGGATCAAGCCCCTCCTTCAGTTTCTGTCCCTCACTTTGTCTCCATATTTTCTCCCTTGAGTATTTTGTTGCTCCTTCTAAGAAGGACCGAATCACCCTCACTTGGACTTCCTTCTTTATGGACTTCATGTGGCCTGTGAGTTGCATCTTGGGC